GAACTCCTGACCTCAGGTGATCCACGTGCCTCGGCCTCCCAAAGTGCAGGGATTACAGGCATGAGCCACTGTGCCCAGCTGGGGACTGTTATTTTTACAAAAAAAAAAAAAAGGGGGGGATCTATAAGCCTTAACTCTCATGTATATATTATTAACACTCTCCAGCCATGGTTCTCCTCTGAAAAAAAAAAAAGAATTCAAGCATTTCTGAGGGGATCTGGGGCTATAGTCCATCCTTTGAGTTGGTTGATGACAGATGAATCTCAGCACCTTCTGTTTTGGAAAATACAAATGCTGGAGTTGCTCCAGCTCATGAGATCTTCCAAGGGATTCTGAGGCTGTTCTGACTTGGACAGTGCTCGAGGAGATGATACCCTAGGCTTCCTCACTTTACCAAAGAGAATCCAGGCACATCCTTTTCTTGCAGTCTTGAAGGGCCTAACTGTCTAAGAAAGAATCTTCACTCCCTGAAATGGTTATCAGTAGAATTCTTTAAAATACGAGTTCTCGTAGTACATTAAAACATGAGAGTACAAAATGACAACAAGTGGTGGACTTAAGGAAAGGATTTATTTTTCCTTTTCTTCCTCTTCTGTGTTTTCTGCATGTGGCTAGAGTGGTCTTACACAAACAAATGAACAAGATAATTTATGGAGCCCCAAGCCCTGCTCAAAGCATGCTATATATGTTATTTCCTTTAAGGAGAGAAATTAAATGTGATTTCCAAACGTTTTGTGGAATGATTGAGGAAGACATTGTTGTCTACCTACAACATTGGGACGAAAACACAGTGAGCTATAATAGAAAACTTGCCACGTTATTTCCTTCCTGTTTCAGTTCTTGACTTGTATGTTCTAGGCCAGGCTTCCCCATGGTGTGGTTTTCATTTGGTGCAGAGTAGAGAAGAGTGCTTGTGAAAACACACTGTGTAGAGAATGCACGAACAGGCTTCCTGGAAGTGAGCAGCCAGAGTGGACAGCGAGAGTAGCAAAGGGTAACTACCACCTTGTGACTGTCCCCAGGCAAGCTGCATTCTAGGCATCTTCTATCATGAACAAATGTCATGATGGCCAACTTTTGGGGAAAGCTCCTGTGTGCTAGGTATTATTCCAGGTGATTTTATGTTTATTCGCTGATTTAATCTTCCCAGTACACTAATATAGTAGGTCCTATTATTATCACTTTAGAAGTGAGGATACTTGGTTAGAGAGAAGGTCAGTATCTTGGTCAAGATCATCCAACTAGTAAGGCATATACAAGCTTGGAACCCTGGAAGCGAAACCCCAGGGTTATGGAGCATAATATAAGGCTCACAGCCATTCTAAGAAGTAGAGTTTTTCATTATCCCCATTTGACTTGTGGAGAACATGAGATTTAGACTAGATAAGTAACTTTCTCAAGGTTATCTCGTTAGTAAATAGCAGTACTGAGAAGTTTACCCAAGCAGCAGGCCACTGAGTCAATGTGTTGAATCATTTCAACACACAGAGTCTCCACATTCAGAATGGCGCCTCCAGCCTGTTTGCTGAAAATGGATGTAATAGTGACAGAGAGCCTGGAGAGCAGAGAAAGGAGAGGAAATGATGCATGTGGGACAGGGCCGGGAGGAGAGAAGAGGCTTTGTGGAAGACAGGAGAAAGGGAAAGAGGAACGGTGCTATGCTTTGTGGAGCAATAGTGGAGATAGTGCAGCTTTCCAGGACACAAGGAGAGAAAACAAATCAGAAAATGGGTAAGTCAGAGAGATTTAACAGAAGCTTGGGGCTAGGGGAGAAGGCACTGGAAGTGGAAAGAAAGAGAAGGTGAACAAATGATAGAGGCTACAGTACAAATGTCTGGGTGAGTCCAAACCACCAGCTTACAGAAGGCCAGTGTTGGGTGGGTGAGGTGAGAGCTCACCATGCACCCAGATATCCTGCAGTTGTGTGCAGAAGATCACACACTGCAGCACTAGGCAGCCCTGTCTTCATGAGGGTCACACACATGTGAGGATTGTAAGATGAGGCCCTTGGGGCTCTGTTCACAACAAAAACATTGTATGAGCCTTTTACACATGACTCAGTGTGTATTGTGTGTCTGACTGAAAAAAGATCAGCTTTACCTACAAGTGCTAACATGCTGGCCGAGTTGAAAGGAGTGCACAATTACATAAGAAAATAAAAATACCAGGGGGACAAGCAGTTTACCACCTTGTATGGGACATGCTGAATCTCCAGAGGAAAAGTGCCAGGTGACTCCTTTGCCAACTGTGAGAATAGCTGTGGTTGGACTGGGTGTTTGTTTTGTTTTGTTTTTACCCCAGTGTTTGGCACAGAGTCCTGAACACCAAGTGAGGCCCCTGAACCCTGCTTGACACCAGATTGCATTTTCTAATGTCATTCCAGTTTCACTTCATTTGAAAAGGACTGGATAACAACAAAAGAAAAAGGGAAAGAGTAATTAAATTTTGTTGTATTGGAAAAGTTTATGTGCTAAGCCTGCAAAAAATAGAGTGTAATGGTTAAAAGTAAAGATTTTAGGGCTAGACATAGGTTGAAGCCTTAGCTCCATCATGTCTCAGCTGTGGGGCCTTTGGCTAGTTACTCGAAGTCTCTGAGCCTTAATTTTTTCCTCTATAAAATGGGCATAACAATAGTACCAACCTCAGAAAGTTCATGTGAGAACATGTGAGAGAATACAGGCAAATAGCTTGGCTTAGAACCTGGCACATGATGCCCAGCCAGTGTTGGCAAATATTATACGTAAAGACGGGAAGATCCCTTCCCCCAGTTTGCTCAAGGGAGGTGATATGGTTTGGCTGTGTCCCCCCGCAGATCTCATGTTGAATTCCCACATGTTGTGGGAGGGACTTGGTAGGAGGTAATTGAATCATGGGGGCAGGTCTTTCCTGTGCTGTTCTCATGATAGTGAATAAGTCACATGAGAGCTGATGGTTCTATAAGGGGAGTTTTCCCACACAAACTGTTTCTTTGCCTGCTGCCATCCACCTAAGATGTGACTTGCCCCTCACCTTCCACCATGGTTGTGAGGCTTTCCCAGCCACATGGAGCTGTAAGTCCGTTAAACCTCTTTCCTTTGTAAATTGCCCAGTCTTGGATATGTCTTTATCAGCAGCACAAAAACGGCTAAGGAGGCTAAGGCTGAAACAAAAGTTTGGCAAGGTGGAAGCTCTTTGAAAAGTACCTATTAATATCTGTTTTATACTGTATGTAGTGTGGCATAGTAAAAACAATATTGGATGAGGAAGTAAAAGATGTGGATTCTGGTCTCTGGACCCTCATTTTTCCATCATTTAATAAGTAGGCTAAATTAAGCCCCATTTAATATTCCTTTCGGCTCTGGCATTCTGTGACTCCAGTGCCCATTCATTCCCCTGCCTACCTGCAGCAGGAAGGCTGGAGAGTCTCCCATTCCCTGCTGGCCTTGCAGAGATCTAGCTGATTAACTTGAAAAAGAAAAGAAAGAAAGAAAGCCCTCACACATACCTGGGAATATATCCCAGGTACTTTAAGTGAAAAGAAAGATAAGTTGAAGTACTATGTGTAATTCTAATATATAAACATTCTATAATACTTTTGAAAATATAGATTTGGTAGAAACTATCTTTTAGGCAGGATTGAAGGAAATTTTACTTTAGACTTTACACATTTCTATATTGTTTGAATCTCATACTGTGAGCAAGTTTCATTTGATAATCAAGATAATAATAAAGATGTAAAAAATAAAGTTAAACATGTTCATTATAGAAAATTTGGAAGAAAAAAAGAGAAACATCAATTACAGTCCATCCCAACTTAGAAATATTGCCATTAACTTTCTAATTGATATCCTATCAGTCTTTTTTCTATATGTGTGTATTACCTGGAACTATACATGTATATTCATAAAATATAATCATATTGCCCATGCTGTTTTAAAACTTTCTTCACTTAACAATATATTGTTTATATTTTTCCGTATCATTAAAGTTTCTTCTACAGTCTATAGCACGATTTTAATGATGGCTTGTTTTTCCATCATGTATGTGGCCAACCTTTTATGCTGCACATTTTGGCTGTTCCCAGTTTCCCCTTTGTAGTATTGACAGGCTTTTGGAGAATAATGAAACACTGAAATGTTTGGCTTGGTTTCCCTCTTGGGTAGAGTCTGCTGCTCAGTCTTTTCTTCTTCCTCTTTGTATCCTTTAGCTTTTGGGTGGAGGCCCAGAGAGCTCCACAAGGGGTGATGTGTGTTTAAGAAACTCAGCTAAAGAAACAAACTGATTGCAAAGAACTCTGAACCTAGGGTGTTGGGGAAATGCTGAGCATTGTAATTGGCCTAATGCTACTCCCGTGAGAGATGCCATCTCCCTAGGCCTCCAAAGTTCTGGCAGGGATTTTAACTCTTCTCATCCAGCTGATGACAGACAAATATTCATCACTTTAACAGTTAGGTGCAACCCCCAAAATGTTTCCTCAAGTCCTTCAAACACTCACTGCAAATGCTTACCACCCCATCTCTGAAGATGGAAAAGCAAGTGCGGTGACATCTGCAAACCAGGACAGTGGGCTTTAGGATTCATCTGAAAAGAGAGGCTCTTCGACAGTGCTGGACTTTGCTCCCTGAGCCAGGCTGTGGGTCCAGTGGTGACTCAAGAAGGAATGCCACTGACAAGCCACAGGCATGCCAGAGAATTACTCAGCACATGCCAACAAGTAACCTCATATGAGAATCAAACGCCAGCCAATCTGTGAACGCTTTGCGTAACAGCATATTTGGATTTGGGGCTTAGTTTTCAGGCTTGAGTTTCACGTGTGCCTGAGCATACTCCCAGCCTCCCAGGGCCCCTTCTGTGTGCCCTGCCTCTGCTTGCAAGTGCAAAAAGCAGTTCTCCCAAGAGCCAGGGCTCAGCTCTCCCCTGGAGGTAACGCAGACCTCTGCCAGGGATCAGCTGTCTCTAATCTGGCTGTGCCCCTCTTTCTGGCCAGTGCTACAACTTTATATGCTGTTTCTTACCAACAGGTCAGCAATGTGGGTGACAGATGCTTCTTTTTGCTGTTGGAACACTTCATATTCATCTCTGGTATTGTTACGGCCTTCAACATACCTTACCAACAAGAGAGGTTTGTTGACTGATGACAGCAGATATAACAAAATCTAACTAGCTACGGCTGTAAGAATTGGCAAAGCATTACTGCATCAACAGGTATGTGGACTATCTAAGAGTCCCAGAAAGGACAAAGAAAGAAGTTTACAGATTCTGATGCCCCTTACTACTGTATCCGGCCTTTCTCCTGCTGGTATGGTGAGAGTTGACAGTTTGGTGGATTTAATTTAGGATCTATATTAGGATAAGATACACTCTGTTTTCCTACACAAATTTGCTGCAGAATGGCAGCCACAGTCTGGGACCCCCTTGAACTTGAGGCTAAATGACCTGGTGGCCCACCCTTCTCATCTGTACCACCTTTAATATGTCATCGTTTCCTCAAGGCCTGGGTTTTGTTCACTTAGGGTGATATTGAACATGAAGTTTTCAAACAGCAATACCTTGAGTGACAGACAAGGGCTAGTTAATGATCTCATTCATAATTCATCCCGTGAAGGAACCATTTACACTCAAACTCCAAGCAGGAAGAAAATATTCCCATTAGTTAGGGCTTTTTAAATGCTTCTGCCTTTGCCACAGTGCTGAGAGAAAACTGTGGTCTTCAGTAGTAAGGGCATATGGCTGCAAACAGAGTGCCCAGGTTAGAGACACCAAGAGCTGCAGCATCACTCAGCAATAGCTATTTCAGAGGGATGCAAAGCCTTCCCTGGGAAAAAGTTGAACAGGACTCAGTGCCTAAACACAGCACTTTCAAAAAGAAATGAATTTCTAATTAAACATCCTGAAGACAGAAGCTGACATGTCATTGCAGAGCTAATAATAAGACCTCCTGAAATGTTCAAAAGTTCTCCAGAGTAGGTGTGAACAATTACATTTCCCTCTCTCCGTCAGTGAAGGGTTACCACCAGTTCTTTAAGAAAGAAAAACTGAAGGTTAGTATCTGAAAGTATTGAATAATGTGCTTATTACTATGTGTGGGTTTAGATATTCTCCAAAAAAAAATCCCTTTTCCTTCCAAAATTAAAAAGAACCCCTCTAACTTTTGTTAACTGTAAATAGAATCTTTTTTTAAAAGAAGGAATCCTTACTGCATGTCTAAAACTCGTGGCTGAAAAAAAGTAGAGGATGTCCAGCCTAAGAAGCTGTCAGCATTTTTTTTGTAGCACTCGATATAGCTGCAAGTCAAGGTCCTCATGAAAGTGAAAGTTTTCTTTCAAAGTTGAAAACGTACTACTTGCATTTTACAAGCTCAAGAGTAAAGCACAATAATTATCAGTGCTTTATTGGTAGTTCTAAGCCTCCAAAATGTCAATAAGTTGAATCTAAACTATCTTTGTACAAGAACATAAAACATAGCCTAAGGTGATAAAAATTTAAGGAAAGGATAAATTTGGTGAATTCCCTGCACAGTTCATAATAGAGATTAGTCAACCCACGTTACAAAGATAATTTTTGAGACGAGGTATCACTCTGTTGCCCCGACTGGAGGGCAGTGCTGCCATCATAGCTCACTGCTGCCTTCAACTTCTGGGTTCAAGGGATCCTTCCTACTCTATCTCCCGAGTAGCTGGGATTACAAGAAAGAGCCACCATACCCGTTTGATTTTTTAAAAAAGAAATTTTTGTGGACACAGGTCTTGCTATGTTGCCCAAGCTGATCTCAAACTCCCGTACTCAAACAAGCCCCCAAGTTACAAAGACAATTTTAACGGTTTAAGAGGTTTGCTTCAAAGAGCTATTTCTTTTCTTTTCTTTCTTTCTTTTCAGAGACAGGATCTCACTCTGTCACCCAGGCAGGGGTGAAGTTGGTTGGATCATAGCTCCCTGCAGCTTTGAACTCCTGGGCTTAAAGGATCCTTCCGCCTCAGCCTCCCAAGTGGCTGGGACTCTAAGCGCACACCATCACAATCGACTACTTAAAAACCATTTTTTTTTTTTTTTTTGTTAGAGACAAGGTCTCACTATGTTGCTCAGGTTGGTCTCCAACTCCTGGGCTCAAGCAATCCTCTTGCCTCAGCCTCTCCAGTAGCTGGAATTACCGGTGCGAGCCACCACACTGGCTAAAGAGCTATTTCTTTTATGTAAATTATATGAAGATTGCAAAAAGGTTTTAAGTCACACTACATGTAAAAACCCCTTAAGCTCAAACTCACCAGGAGGACTGTGGGACTTGGAGCTAAAGCCCAGGTGCTTTGCCCTCTGCTGCTGACTTCGGTTGCTGGCTGGGAAGGATCCATTTCCAGGAGGGACCCAGCAGAACCTCGGAGCCGCACGTCCCTAATAGGCAAATATGAGCCGGCCTCCGCTCCTTAAGGATGGGGCTACTCCGCTTCGCCACCGCTGCCTGGAGTTCCTTGTCTGAGATAGGCAGGGCGTGGTGCCCCAGGTCATCTCCCAGGCATGCTTGCCCCATGAGCAGCGCTGTGAGTGTGTACTCAAGGCAATCCAAGGTTCAACGTCATACCATTGTCTTTAACAGAACCCTACAAACATGTAGTGGCCAAGGCATGGTGCATCCTGCCTCTTCCTCTGCTATTTATCTGCCTTTTTTTTTTTTTTAACTTTAACTTGGTCTACTCCTATTTATTGGGCAATCCCCTAGATTCTAGGGAACCAATATATTTAATTTTTCTAATCTAAAGGTTAATAAGGACTCTATCTTCCCTAGTCAGAGCCACAAGATGAACTTTCTCAACCCATCCTCTTTAAGGAAAAGAAGTTGTTGGTTGAGTCACGTGAGTGTCTGTTTACACACTAACAGCATACAGGGTACATACACGGAGCAGCACTCATCCCCACCAGGAAGCCTGTACTCCATATTCATGTGTCAAGTGATGTAAAGGTTGCCATGGTTATAATCTCTGTTTAGTCAATAGTGTGTGTGTGTGTGTGTGTGTGGCAGGGGAATCACCCCAATGGGCGTATTGCAATTTAGAGGAATCCCTGGGTACTTTTAAAGTATTGAATCACAATTTACATTTTTAAAAGTGTTGTCAGTGACAGCATATTGGTTGCCATTTCTTGAAAACTCTTCTTTGTAGAAGACCTTATGTATGCCAAGAACATCGTTTCTGCCTCCTTATGTGAAACTTTATTTCCTACATTTAGGATTCATTAGGATTATCTAAGGTAAGTGTTGGCAAGGGGGGAGAAGCATGAAAATCATGAGGGTGAATGTGGGAAAGGGATGAGGGAAGGTGAGCTTAATTATTTCAAAGATAATAATGAGGGTCCCAACCCCCACACTGTGGGAGGCCAAGGTGGGAAGATTGTTTGAATACAGGAGTTTGAGATCAGCTTGGGCAACATAGCCAGACCTGTGTCTACAAAAATTTCTTTTTAAAAATATCAAACAGATATGGTGGCTCTTTCCTGTAATCCCAACTACTCAAGAGACAGAGTAGGAAGGATCCCTGGAGCCCAGGAGTTCAAGGCTGCAGTGAGCTATGATGGCAGCACTGCCCTCCAGCCGGGGAAACAGAGTGATACCTTGTCTCAAAAAACAAACAAACAAACAAACAAACAAAAGAATAAAAATAGAAGTGTCAATAATTCCTACTCTTCTTGGTCCGCCACCTTCTTGCCTTGGTGACTTTTGAATCCCCCATCCCTCAGTTTTCTCATCTGTAAAATTGGAAGGATAACAGGGAGTTGCGGGGTCTACTGGGTTGCTCACAGGCATTTAGAGCACTCTCTGGCACATAGTGAGCACTCTTTAAATGCACCCACTCTTACTCATATTCTAGTCAACACACAAATAATCTGCTGTGCTTTTGGATAGAGAGAAATTCTTCATAGCAGCACCATCACACATTATTGAAAAGATTTTGGTGTGATTAGGGCCGATGGACATCCAAACTTCCCTCCCACCTTTCTGATCATAACTCTTCCTTTTCCCACACTCAGTATCTTTCCTTTATCTACTCTAAGCAGGAACATGATAAGTTACATAAATTACATGAAGATCATTAAAAGGTTTGAAGTCACACTACATGTATGACTTTGTATTTGAACAAGACTCAAAACAATAAGTGAAAAAAGTGACAGTTGGTGGAATTTTAGAAGTTGAGGGCGGAAGGTGTTTTCAAAACCCCTCAAATCACACACTTCAGATGTGGCTGCTTCCTGCATCCACTAGTGAAGGTGACTTTGTCAGGGAGCCACTTGCATTTTTCACTAACTGAGGTTCTGCCCTCCCAAATCTCACAATCTAAGGGAGAGAATCTTGATCCAAAGTGGTAACAAAACAGGTAAGTAATGCAAGCTCAGTGATGTGGGCTGAGTAACTCCCCTGTCCCTGGTATTAGCATGGAGGTGCTAGACACCCTCCGGTGGAACAAGACCCATTCTTTGGCTTCAGGAACTTCACAGCTTAATGGAAGGGACGAAACACATCAGATAGTGATAAGAAAATGTGTATGAGTAAAAGGAAGAGATAGGTATGTTGACAGAAGACAGCCTGAGGAGTTTAGAGAACAGAAACATTTCTCAAGAACTTGAAAGCAAAAGAGTCTCTTGAAACGGTTTGTTGTACACTGACTGAAGGCTGAGGTATGGACTGGAAAGTGACTTAGTCCAGCCCCTTCCAGCTGGGTGAGTAACTGAACACGCCAGCGCGCAGATCTTCACTGGAGAGAAATGGGAGCCTGAGTCGTCTCTTTGACATCATCTTTAGATTTTTGGTTTAACTTTTCCCTTCCACATCAGACGCCCCTGTTGTTGGGTGGTCTGCCATGCCACTTCCTCCAAGTCCCAGCTACTTTACTCTAGGTGGAGGGCTGGGGGTAATGGATCTTATTTCAAAAGAAGAGGGGAAATTGAAACCAGAACGGCTTTGTGATGAACTGTAGGGGAATCCTTTTTTCTCTGGCAAAGGTTTCCTGAGGCTGGTGTCTCCAGCTTGGAGCTTGATCATGTGTGTGGGGTGTGTGTGTGTGTGTGTGTGTGTGTGTGTGTGTGTTTATTTGGTGAGAGTTAACCATTCAAAATGGAAGTCCTTTCATAATTTGATCTAGTTATGCAAACACAGCCCACTAATGTTAATAAACAGAGACCAGATGCAAATAACCCATTCGGGCATAACATGGAATAACTAGCAGAAGTTAAAGCAAACTGTCTCCTTCCCCACCGCCCTATTACCTCATAAGAATTCCTTCCATTTGGAAATAAGCAAGAGGAAAAGGAAAAAAAAAATGGGACTATTAGGATGTTTTAGTCTTAAAATGATAGCAATAATAGAGTAGCCTGGATCACACAAGATTGCCATGAAAAACTGAAGAATTTCAGAATTATGTGGAATGAGACATTCATCCCTAAGAAAAGTGAGGTGCTCATGAATGTGCATAACACAAGGAAAAATTAATTACAACGGGAAAACACCTCCAAATGGAAGTCTGCAAGTCAATGATTCATAGCCAGGTGTTCAAAAGAAAACTTGGTTCTCTACGACTCATTGAATATGGTGTCACTGGATATGGTAAAATTTTATGACATTCCCTGGGGCTCTGGGTATTTTAACTGTTCTGCATAGACAGCCAAGCCTTACAGGGTGAGGCCTAACACAGGGAATCCTAGAATGGTAATGGTATTGCCATTTTCTGTAGAAAACAAAGTTTCAGTTGAATAAAAAGAGGTAGTTGATATAAATAAGCTCACAGAAAGTCTCCAAACCTTTGAGGTGACTACTATTGCTGCCGCTTTTCCCAGAATGCCATTGCTTTACGAATGGCTTTTTGACCAAGAGGCTAAAGAACTCTTGACTTGTGTAGATTTTCTACTTTTTGAATAATGCTTAGTTTTTAAAGCTTGTGTGCGTGTGTGTGTGTGTGTGTGTGTGTGTGTGTGCGCGCGAGCGCGCGCGCGTGTATGGTAGGCTCCAGGACTTGTGGGCCCAGGGAAACTTCATTGGTGGCTGAGAATAAAAAGAAAAGTTAAGTTTGAAAAAAGAAATAGCAACACTTCAGTTTAGGAAAATCAGACTCTGGAAAAGCATTTGGGTGAAATCTTCCTGATTTAGCTGTAGGACAGAATTAGACACAAAGCAGGAAATCTCCAGAAGGTGCTCAGGAGATGTTGATAGAATGAAACCCTGAAACTCCTTCTGTGAGGTTCTCCAGCACTTCAACGTTATTAGCAGGAAATTCTTCCGAAAGTCAACACCAAATTCCTTCTGCAGCGATTTTAGCGCATTCTCTCCCTTCCGACTCTAAAGAGAAAAAGCAAAGATGCTGATATTGCTGTTCTCACATTTCTATTAAACTTACCCTCAATCTTCCATTTTGTGAACTAAATAATTTTTTAAGCCTTTCCCTCAAAAAGGTAATTTCACAAACATTTTCATGTGCCAATCTTGAGTCACAAATGTTTAGAAATAGCTTACTTATTACCATACAGACAGAGTATACTGATATAAATACGGTGCTTAGTTCATAAAGGTGCTGCTTTGTATTGAAATTCCTGCATCCGGGGCAGCCACTGGCAGCACTGTGGGTTTCTTTCTGTGGTCTCCCTTGAGCCTGAATGAAGGTGATGGCTGATGAGCCGGACTAATAAAATGTACCCTTGCACTGATTAAACGTCCATTTTCTTGAGGAAATGGCTGACAGGAGCAGGATAAAGCTGTGAGGAAGCTTGTAGCAATTTCACAAATCTACTCCTACCAGTGAGCTTTATCTGAATGCTTAGAGCTACTCTGAGCAAAACAATGGGTGTTGAAAATGGACCAGGGAGAAAATTAAGAAATGACAAGCTTGTTTTTTTAAAGTAAGAGGAAAGCTTCTCATGTTAGTTTTTTCTAGAGTGTTCTCGTGAAGGGAAACAGAACGTTTCACTTCAGCAAGATGCACCGTATAACCATGAGGCACAGGGAAAGAGGGCAAGCAGGTAGCGAGCAGTCAGGGTGAGCTCCAGTTATCTGCTTGAGGGCTTTGATCTCAGTTGCAATGGACAAGGCAGAAGCAGGAGCTGGGGGCCTTCTAGGAGGGAAGAGAAAGAAGAATTTAGCACCACAACAGAGTGACCACCTTAAAATCCTCAAGTCACCTGTGAATGATGGTGTAGGTGCTGATGGGGGTGAGGGGATCCCCAGGATTGTGGTGGTAAGTGGAGAGAGTTGTTGCTCTTATTTTTAAAAGGTAACATAAAAGACTTTGACTCGTGCTGTTTACAGTAGCCACTAGCCACATGTAGCTACTAAGCACTTAAAATGTGCTGTAATTGTAAAAACTCACACCAAAATTCAAAGACATATTTTTAAAAAGTAAAATACATTATTAATCCTTTTTTTTTTTAACTATATGTTAAAATGATAATACTTTGGATTGATTAGGTTAAATAAAATACACGACTAAAATGAATGCTGTAATATGGATGAACTTTGAAAACAGCGTGCTAAGTGAAAGAAGCCAGACACAAAGGGCTACCCATTGCATGATTCCATTTATATGAAATGTCCAATAGGCAAATCCATAGAGACAAAAGGTAGATTAGTGGTTGCCTAGGGCTGGGGAGATTTGGAGGGAAATGGAAAGTGGGTGCTAATGGTATGGGGTTTCTTTATGGGGTGAAAAAAATATTCTAATATTGTTCGTGAGGCCATACCTGTAATCCTAGCACTTTGGGAGGCCGAGATGGGAAGATCACTTGAGGCCAGGAGTTCGAGACCAGCCTGGCCAACGTAGTGAGAAACTATCCCTACAAAACAGAAAAAATTAGCAGGACATGGTAGTGCGCACCTGTGTTCTCACCTACTTGGGAAACTGAGGTGAGAGGATGGCTTGAGTTTAGGAGTTCAAGGCTGCCATGAGCTATGATCGCACCACTGCACTCCAACCTGAACAGAGCAAGACCCTGACTCCAAAAAAAAAAAAAAATCCAAAACTGACTGTGGTGTGATTGTAGAACTCTGTCAGCACAGACGGGTTACGGTGGCTCACGCCTGTAATACCAACATTTTGGGAGGCCGAGGTGGGTGGATCACTTGAGGTCAAGAGTTCGAGACCAGCCTGGCCAAAATGGCGAAACCCCATCTCTATTAAAACTACAAAAAATTAGCTAGTCATGGTGGGACGTGCCTGTAGTCCAGGTACTCGGGAGGCTGAGGCAGGAGAATCACTTGAACCCAGGAGGCGGAGGTTGCAGTGAGCCAAGATCACGCCACTGCACCCCAGTCTGGGTGATAGAGTGAGACTCTGTCTCAGTAATAATAAGAAGAAGAACTCTGAACATACTAAATGGTACACTTTAAATGGGTGAATCGTATGGTGTGTGAATTATATCTCGACAATGCTGTTTAAATAAATAAGTAAATTTGGATGCAAAAATCTCTAATATTACCTGTTTTAAAACCTTTTAAAATATGGCTAGCAGGAAACTTAAAATTACATAACTGGCATTGTATTTCTATTGGACCTGCTAGGCTGAGAAGACCGAGGATGAAGACTCTGGACCAACCTGGGGCTAATGGTACGCAGAGCGAAGGCCATAAACACAGGGCGAAAGAGCAGCCAGAAATGCTCAGCTGTGGTGTAGAGCAAGAAGGAATGAAGAATTGGGGAGAGGGTCTTGAGACTAAGGATGAAACTGCTGGACTGGGGCTGGCCTCTGCACAAAGGGCCAGCAATGGGACTGATGGCTGACTAGAATTTCTTGCCCCTAGGCAAACACAGGGAGCTATCTTCAGTCATCTCTCCAAAACTCTTATCAGCTCAGACGATAAAAGGTGGGGCATTTCCCTTTAAGTAACATCAATTTAAAGAAAAAAAAAAAGGTGGGGCAGAGCTGCCCTGTGTTTCACAGGTGGCTGCTCTAACTGCCTCAGGCTCTGGCCAGCAGCCCCAGGGCTGAGAGGATCCCTATCTTAACCCATCTGTAATGTATTTGCATACCTGTAACCCAGCCTTGCTAAACTGCTGCAGGCAAGCTGGGAAGCTCTGGCCTTGTCCTGGAGGATATAAACTTTTTCAGGAAGTATTAGCCAGGAAAGCTGTCTGGCCTATTTACAAAATGCCATAAACAAACCCTAGTGCTTGTCCGAGGTTTGGGTGAACACATCATAAGGGGAAGCCTTGGGTGCCTTCTTGGCGTCCTCCCCCAGCCCAGGTTTCCTTCCAGTTCAGTTCCCCCCTTCACACGCCCTCCCCAAAACACAACAGTATTTCAAAGGAAACAGTGGCTCAGTGGATGATGGATAAGGAACCTACACTTACGGTCCCCCCTGCCCCTCGCCACCAAAAGAAACGACCTCATGGCTTGCTTCTGGAGACCAGAAAAGTGACTGGACCGAAGGACAGAATGGGTGAATTAAGCCAGATGAGCTGTAACCCCAAAGGCCTAGTTCTGGAGGAGAGGTCAGTAGCCTAGAAAGGAGAGAAAATTAAATACACTATACTTGGCAGTGGCTGTTTCAATTTTACAATTACAAAGTGAATATTTGACATTATTCTGTATTTTATCTGAACTATGTCCTGAAAATTTCTTCCATTGCAGTAAACATTAATTTTTCTCTTGACTGTGTGTCATGCTTCAGTGGACAGGGTGGATAGCAAGCATAGGCAATGGAGTAGGTAAAGTTTATGAACCTAAGGGCGCTGTCTGGGGCAAAGCCACATCCCCTGCTGTCCTGTCCAGGTGTAGTAACAGTAGAAAGTTAACTGTGTTCAATGAAGGTATACACAGGAGACACAAAAGACAGTATCATCTGCATGCCTGCAAGCTTCCGAAGGACAAGGCTTGCAAATTGTTCCTCTCCATATCTCCACCATAGGGTCATAGGCACATGCTAAGTACTCAAGAAATACTTGTAGATGGATATGCAGATGGATGGATGTGGCAAATAGTAGTTACTTAATGTAGGTGTTATGTAATGATCTCGTATTTTGAGTAGTTGATGATGAAGAGAAAGGACAAAAGCTTTCATTTTTGCAACAGGAAAATAAATTATGGATATATTACACTAAACAAATATAATAGCATATAGCATATGCTATTTTGTCATCCATTTTTTTCCAAAGAGTGCTTTGATATGTTAGGTAAGGGTGGAAAGGGGAAAAAAATGCCCAGTACAGCTCATGAAGCCTCTTTCTCACCAGATCTTGTAAAATGCAAGCTACTTGGGAGTGGACGAATGACTTAACGATGATGTTGTCAGGGCCCTCAGAATAAATATTGCCTTTTCCATTCCCACTGTGGGTACTACAAGTGCCACTGGCACCTTGTCAAGAAGTTGAGATCTCCTCATTCTTATCTTCTGTGTCAGGCAGCACAAGATGGTAAAAAAAAAAACTCGTTCAAAATGCACTTGAATATTACATCCCTTGTCCTTGCATTTACACTATTTTCTTGCAGCTGAAAGCCTAACAGCTAGTAAGTAGAAAAGGAGAGGACAGAACCATCCAAAAGTCAGCCTTTCCTTCCTAAGGAGAGCCCTTGGTGGGGTTTGTCCATCAAACAGTAGCCTCCCTAATGGCGTCTTCACTCTTTCTTCCTTTGCCACCCAGTATCGAGACACTTCTCATCTCTCAGAAGCAAGGAACTTCAGAATTGGTTTCAGTTCTATGATTCTCTTTCAGCAGCCATCCCAACAGTCTATAAGATGAAAGAACCACTCAGGGCAGCAGGGACTTTAGAACTGATTGAAAGTCATTTATGGCCAGACACGATGGCTTATGACTGTAATCCCAGCACTTTGGGAGGCCGAGGTGGGCAGATCACTTCAGGTCAGGAGTTGGAGACCAGATTGGCCAACATGGTGAAACCTAAAGTTAGTAAGCCACTGATTATTGTCAGTAGCCGGGGCAGGAGTAGGTTATAGAATAGAGAATGAGGCAATTCTTTCTGGCCAAGGATCCTGTTTCATAAGTGAGTTGGCTTTTTGGCAGTTAAGAATCCATATTTGGCTGGGCATGGTGGCTCACGTCTATAATCCCAGGACTTTGGGAGGCCGAGGCGGATGGATTACTGGAGGTCAGCAGTTCAAGACCAGCCTGGTCAACATGGCAAAACCTGACTCTACTAAAAATACAAAAATTAGCAGGGCGTGGTGGTGCACGCCTGTACTCCCAGCTACTGGGGAACTGAGGCAGGAGGACCACTTAAATCCAGGAGGTGGAGATTTCAGTGAGCCGAGATCATGCCACTGCGTTTCAGTCTGGGCAACAGGGAGAAACTCCATCTTAAAAAAAAAAAAAAAAAGTCAGGATACAGAAAAAATATCTATCTTCATATAGTTTTATGAGGGAGCTTACAAGGCTCAGCTGGAATATTCAAAGGCAAGGTACTTCAAAGGAAGCAAAAATGTGCTATTTTTAGATTTAACTTAGATTTCTAAAACTTCTGTGCAACTCTCTTATGTGGGTATGTGACACACCAGTAAACAGGGTGGATGTGACCCTGGCAGGGTGAGCTAAGAAACTTGGATTCCTTGAAGGAAATAACTTTCTGTGATATCATGACTGGCGGGGTACTGCTGGTGGGGGATGACTGGCAGGGGATGCGCAGGTGCAGCTGGATGGAAGCCCTTGGCATTGGGGCTTCTGTCATGCATCCAAATCCCCAGTGCCCCTATTCCTCCACCCAGGTCATTCCTGCTCATGATATCAGTACTCTGACTCACAAGTAGCCTGCAGCAGCTGAAAGGAAATGATGTGGCAACTGTGTACGAAGACTGGTTAAACGCTGCAGACAGAAAAGAAAATCCATTTGAAAATATGTTGCTGTATTTTACAAAAGGCTGTTCAAAATTTAAAAAGTATGTTTAGCATTCCAAGTATTTTCCCTTCTGTGTCTTCAGAGACCATCTCTGAGAGTGATGTTTTGTTTATTTAACATTTAATCAAAAGAGATGTGGACCCTACCAGCTTTTGAACAGCAGATTCAGTAGCATTGCCTCTTGCATTAAGTTTGAAAAGAGAAACTTCAACCACACAGAGAATTTGATGTCTGTAATATGCACTAAAAGATCAGCTGGTCTAACTTTACAGGGCTAATAAAAGGGAAAATTTTTCCTGTGCTCAGGTCTTTTATGAATTATAAATAACCATTCACTTTGGAAGATAGCACATCATAAAATTTTTTTTCACAAATATGCACAAATCCATTTTAAGATCCAAGGAAAAAGATGTTCAAAAGTCTCAGATGTACTCAGTTTTGATTTCGTAGGGAAACATGTTCTTTTACCATATGGATGCTTTTAAGGGGGCCTTCAGCTGAGGCTCAATAATGACACTCCAGTGGCTAAATAAGGGATTTCTTCCCTTCTAACATTATTTCTCTGTTATTAAAGGTGGAAAAACCTTCCACAAATAGCATACTATTAGAGTGCTTTAGGGGGTATCCTGGGAATCAAGGTTATGTGTCTGCTCCAGAAATACTGTCTGTAATTATCATTCCTCCGTGGTTCTGAGGATGCAGTCTTGGTGTTTTCATTAATTTTTTCATTCTATAAGTCTGCAGTGTGTGCCTGCTCTTGATATTCAATATTTTACAGTAGGAATTTTGTTGTTGTTGTTGTTTTTAGGGTCACAGATCTCTCCCTTCTCTTTTCCTCTCATAATAACCGTTTCCTGGCTTCTTTTGCCTACTGAAATAAAAAAGTATGAAAGGCTAGATTTGAAAAGAAAAATAATTCAGATATGAAATTTTTGCAATTCCAGCCTTCATCTTCTCTATTTATAATCTGCTAGTATGAGCATTAAAAAATAGAGCATTCAGATCTACCAAGCACTTGAAGACGGTTCATGGGTCGCAAGAGCACATAGATTTCCTCCCAGTGCTTTGTTATCAGTATTTTCAAATATGCACCACATTAAAAGAATTTTACAGTGAACACCTATATGCCCACGATCTAGTTGTAGATTCTGCTATTAATAGTTGACTCTTCTTGCTTTATCACATATTTATACACCCCTCCTCCATTAATTCATCTTATTTTTTCATGTGTTTAAAAGTGAATTGTAGGCATCCACCAATATCTACTTTAAAACTTCAGTTTGGTATTTACTTTTTTCATTTGGTATGAAATTTACAGATTTTAAACTGTTAACACTAAGTGTCCAGTTTCAGAGTTTTGACAAATATATCCCTGTGTGCCCAAACCCTTACTGAGATATAAAATATTGTCTTCACCTGGGAAGATCCCTCATTTATCTTTCCTGTCAATCCTTGTTCCTAATCCCTTTCCCAAACCCAGAGGCAACCACTGTTTTGATTTTTTTCACCACAGATTAGCTTTGTCTATTCTATAATTTCATGTGAAAAGGTCAAATAGGTTGAATTCTTTGTGTGAGACTTCTTTCACTCAGCATAATTTTTTGAGATTTGTTCATGTTATTGTGTGAACAGTGGTAGCCCATTCTTTTGTATTGCTGAGTAGTATTCCATTGTATGACTAAACCACAGTTTGCACATTTATTCTCTCTCTCCTTTTTGTTTTTTGTTTTGTTTTGTTTTAGATGGAGCTTCACTCTGTTGCCCAGGCTGGAGTGCAATGGTGTGATCTCAGTTCACTGCAAGTGGGTTCAAGCGATTCTCTTGCCTCAGCCTCTTGAGTAGCTGGGATTACGGGCACCCACCAACACACTTGGTTATTTTTTGCATTTTTAGTAGAGACAGGGTTTTCACCTGGTTGGCCAGGCTGGTCTTGAACTCCTGACTTCAAGTGATCCAAGTGATCTGCCTGCATTGGCCTCCCAAAGTGTTGGGATTACAGGGGTGAGCCACCGTGCTGGGCCCCTGCGCATTCATTCTCTTCTTGATGGATACCTGGGCTGTATTCAGTTTTTGACTATTACTAATAGAGCTGCTATGAACACTCTTATACAAGTATTTTGATGAACATATGTTTTCATTTCCCTTAGGAAAAGACAAGACCTACTTATGTAATTGCAGGATCACAGCTAGTATATATCTAGTTTTTGAAGAAAATGCTATTTCTTTTTCTAAAGTTGATGTGCCATTTTATATTCATATCAACAATGTTTAGGAGTTCCAGTTGCTCCACATCCTTGCTGACATTTAGTGTTTTCATTCTTTATATTTTAAACCATCCTGGCGGTAGTGATACTTCATTCAGGTTTTAATTTGCATTTTCCCAGTGACTAAAGATATTGAGCATGTTGTCATGGGCTTATCTGCCATGTATATATCTTCTTTGGTAAAGTGTCTTTCATCCATTCAAAAAAGTTTTCCCTTTATTAATAAGTGGGAGTCCTTTATATACCCTGGATATCAGTCCTCTGTCAAGTTTATGTTTTGTAAATAATTTCTTCCAGTCTATATCTCGACTATTTGTTTTTTAATGGTCTCTTTTCATGACAGGTTTTTTATTTTGTTTAAATCTAATTTATCAGTTTTTTTGTGGTTATGGCTCTCGGTGGCCTAAACAAAGCACATTGATCTTAATAAATGGTGTTCACAAAATGTGTTGTAAGCTCAAGATAATCCAAAGCTTCACTGTGGTCACTGTAATAGAAGTGTTTGCCTAAAGAAACATCCATGTCCGTACATACTGGGAACAACTGAGGAAAACCTTGTGAACTGTTTACACTCTCAAGAGCCCCAGAGAACGAGTCCAACTCTAGACCTCCCTTTTCACTTTGTTTTATAATAAGAAGCTTTCTGTTTTGATGGCTGGAAGGAGTCACCACAGGCAAAACTACCCGGTCATGGCCTTGTTCTGGAATCAAGTCAGCCTTTATGCTTATGAGCAGGATAAATGTACTATTTTAATAAGCATATGTTATTGGGAGATCATATTTTAAATAGTTTAATATATGGCATGAATGAATAAAAAATAGACTCTCCAGAAGCTTTAAAAACATTCAAAGAAAGAAATCCACAGAGAGACCCAGGTGTCAGTTATGACATGGGGCAAAATGAAGAAAACAGGACTTGGGAAAACAGAGATCTACTGAAGGGATATAGCGATTCTTTAGAGTTGTTTTTAGGCTACCCATTAAAGGGTTTCCCAAGATTTTACCCTGGTCTCTTTGCCAGCTGCTCTGCTTGTCAGTGAAGCTGTTTGATTTCTCTCTTTGTTTCTTGTTCGAACAAAAAGGACACTCAATACAGACATGACATTTTGAAAACTAAACTCACATCTTTTTCACCCTAACTTCATTGTTGTTTTGGCCTACTTTCTCTTAGACACTTTCTTGAGGGTTCAGGCTGAATGTGGTCTTTCAAACTTTCAAACTCCCTTGAGTACCTCTTTCTGTGATTCCGTCTCCTCCTAGTGATCATTAATGGTCTGCAACTGCTTCTTTATTTGTGGGGTATCTTGGGCCTTTTGCTTCTTCAGTTTTCTACTTTTTATCATTAAAAATCCCCCCCTTTTATTAGAGACTGATTTAGGAAAAGAAAGGGATGGAACTTAAATGAATGAACTGCTGTTTGATTGCAGATTGAAATTAGTGGCCAAGTTTTTGTTTTTTGTTGATTTAGCAGACTTTTATAAACCAAAACTAACTGTATGATTCTCATTGGCAGTTATGTTGAAATATAAGATATGAAGAGAGTACCAATTCACAAAGCCCTGGACTGTTCTAACCCTAGGGAATACTCACTGGTGGCTGTGTGGGTGTGCCTGCCAGGCTGGGAAGGGATCTAGCATAATGGTGAGTTTCGTAACACACCAGCACAGGTCCAAC